GGAGGTGCGGGGTAGAGGGGAGGGAGGATAGAGGGAAGGGACACGATGTAGGGAAGGATGCGATATGGAGGGAGCAGTGGAGGAGCAGGAGGAGAAGCATGAGTCTTCAGCTGAGCATCGACGACTTTTTCCCTCGCCCTCCTCCGCACTCCTCCTCCCCCTCCTCACTCCCCCCTCCTCCTCCTCCTCCTCCTCCTCCTCCTCCTTCTCGTCCTCCTCCTCCTCTACGTCCTCCTCCTCCTCCGCCTCCTCCTCCTCCGCCTCCGCCTCTTCCTCCGCCTCCGCCGCCGCCTCCTCCTCCTCCTCCTCCTCCCTCTCCGCCTCCTCCTCCGCCTCCTCCTCCCTCATCTTCTCCTCCGTCTCCTCCTCCTCTTCCTCTTCCTCCACCTCCGCCTCCTTCTCCGCCTCCTCCTTCTCCTCCTCCCTCTCCTTCCTCCTCCTCCTCCTCCTCCTATTCCTCCTTCTCCTCCTCCTCCTCCTCCTCCTCCTCCTCCTCCCCCTCCTCCGCCTCTTCCTCCTCCTCCGCCTCTCGAGTGAAGAAGCTCGGCGCAGATCCAAGAAGCCCGCGTGGAGCTCCGAAGGCTTGTGCTTGTGCCGTTTTGTTCCTCCTCGCTCCTCCGTTGCTTGCTGGTGCTCCTCCTCCTCCTCCTCCTCCTCCTCCTCCGCCCCCCGAGGGGGCGGACCGATCGGGCGGGCGCCCCGACAGAGACCTCCGCGCCCGCCGTCGCCGCCCCGCGGCGGCGCCCGGCACGCGGAGGCTACCACTCGGAGACGAAGGCGGTGAGCGGCGCGAGCGCGTCGGTGCTGGTTGGCGCGGAGGTGAACACCGAGGAGCGGCGGCGAGGGAGGAGGAGGAGGAGGAGGAGGAGGAGGAGGAGGAGGAGGAGGAGAGGAGGGAGGAGGGGAGGAGGTAGGAGGAGGAGGAGGAGGAGGAGGAGAGGAGGAGGAGAGGAGGCAAGAGGAGAGGAGGAGGAGGAGGCGGAGGAGGCAGGAGAGGGAGGAGGAGGAGGAGGAGGAGGAGGCGGAGGAGGAGGAGAGGGGGAGGAGGAGGAGGAGGAGGAGGTAGGAGGCGGAGGAGGGGAAAGGGGGTGGAACGGGGGAGGAGGAGGAAGGGAGGAAGGGGAGGAAGAGGAGGAGGAGGAGGGAGAGGAGGGAGGAGGATGAGGATGTAGGAGGGGAAGGAGGAGGAGGAGGAGGAGGAGGGGGATGTGAGGAGGATGAGGAGGAGGAGGAGGAGGTAGGAGGGGAGGAGTCTTGAGAGGAGGAGGAGGAGGAGAGGAGGTGAGGAGGAGTTTGGGAGAGTGGGGACGGGGAGGACGAGGAGAGGGAGGAGGGATCAGGAGGAAGGAGGAGGGGGGAGGAGGAGGGGAGGAGGAGGAGGAGGAGGAGGAGGAGGAGAGGAGGAGGATAACGAGGAGAGGGAGAGGGAGGAGGAGGAGGCGGAGGCGGAGGAGGAGGAAGAGGAGGAGGAGAAGACGGAGCAGAAAGAGTGCAGAGGAAGGGGCCGAGGAGGAGTAAGTAAGTAAGGAGGAGGAGGAGGTGGAGGCTGAGGAGGAGGAGGAGGGCAAGGGAGGAGGGGAAGGACAAGGGAGGATGAGAAGGAGGAGGAGGACCAGTGCAAACGCCAGACCCATCGACGATATTGTAATAACCCCTCCCTCCAGGTTCCCTCCTCTTCATCGACCCCATACAAGGTTTCATGTTTCTTAAATAAAGTGCCCCGTTGGAAGACAGCTGTTTGAGAATCCGGAACTGTGCCAGGACACTCTTTCTGGGACTTCAGCGCCGCGAATCACCGTTACTGTTGCGTCTTGACGATCCTGACTCGTTCCAGAACGCCATTTCTGGGAGTCCAGCACTGGGAATCAACGTGAATGGTGCGCCCTGACATTCCGACATCGTGCCAACACACCGTTTCTGGGACGTTAACCATGAGACTCCTGATGAAATTGCTGCAGACTCTTCAGGCGAGCGTGCGCAGATCTAGGGCGGGAGCCGCACTTTGAGAAGGAGCCGCCCTCCATCCGCGAAGCTCTTGCAAGCTTTTAGCGCGGATGTGCGCGGCGTTAGGCTGCGAGCCACAGCTTGAAAACGGATCGCCTTCCATCCTGAAGAACACTTGCATGTCTTTAGCAAAGGAGTGTGCGCGGAGCTAAGGCGAGAGTGGCATTCTGAAAACGGTCCGCCCTGCACACGCGAAGCTCTTGCAATCTTTTAAGACGAGCGCTCGCGGCGCTGAGGCGAGAGCCGCATTTTGACAAGGGCCCGCCCTCCGTGCGCGAAACTCTTGCAGTTCTTTAGGGCGTGCGTATGGGGGGCTGCGGCAAGAGCAGCTTTTTGAAATCAGCCCGCCATCCATGCGCGATCATGTTGCAACTTTTCGGCCAGAGGATCACGCATGCTGTGGGGGTCTCCGGCGAAACGCACGGCCCGCCCTTTCGACCGGTCTCGGGGTGCGACGGGGATGAGTTATTTATGAGGAAGAGGGACGGATGGAGGAGGGGGAGGAGGAGGAGGAGGAGGAGGAGGAGGAGGAGGCGCAAGAGCAGGAGAAGGAGGATGAGGTCGAGGAGGAGGAGGAATATGAGGAGGAGGAGGGAACGTCGCGAGCGGGCGTCTCCGCAGGACGACGTGCTTGCGCTCAAGGTCTCGCAGCTGCCCACCTTCAACGACACGCTCCGGCCGCAGGAGCCCAACCCGACGAGCCAGCGGCACCCTGAGCTCTGGAGCAGGAGGTCGGGGAGGAGGATAATGAGGAGGAGGAGGCGGAGGCGGAGGAGGAGGAGGAGGAGGAGGAGGAGGAGGAGGATGAGGAGGAGGAGGCGGAAGAGGTCGGACGACCCGCGGCCAGGGACGAGCAGCAGGTTCGCCCTGCCCTCGAGAAGCGGATGTGAGATCCGGCTCTGAGAAAAACGGCGAGTGCGAGGAGGGGGGCCAAGGGACGAAGGGTTCGAGGAGGGGATAATAAGGAGCAGGGTGGGGTCAGGAGATGCAGAGTCCCCCCGCCCCTGCGATCTGGAGAACGAGCCACCGCCTACTCCTCCATGATCCATCCCTCCTCGCCCCTCCACCGCGCGGGAGTGCGGCGCGCCTCCGTGGCACGCTGTAGGCTTGAAGGGTACCTTACCCCATGGTTAGGGATGCGGCGGTCTTCGGTGAAGTACTGGAGACTGTGGAGCAGCTTGCAGACACCGTGCTGCCTGACACCAGTAGTTGTCCGACAACGGACCACATTATTTAAGTAAGTGGGATGGCTAGAACCTAATGCCAATGGCCGTGGATGAGCCAATCCATGGGGGTGATGCCGCTGGCCGCGGTGATACAAAACCACGGGGAGGATCTTTACCCAGATGCCCATGAGGTTTTGGCCATATCTTTCTTTTAACTAAAAGTGCTAATACCAATAGAAAGTCAATGGGATACTCTCACCAGGATGATTTCGATTGTGATTGAGAATCGGGAGAGCTGGGGTGGAGGCGGGAGGAGGAGAGGGAGGAGGAAGGGAGGAGGGCAGAGGGAGGAGGCAGGAGGAGGGAAGAGGAAGGAGGAGGCATGAGGAGGGAAAATGTATCCCTCCCTCTACTCCTCCCCCTCCTCCTCCTCCTCCTCCTTCTCCTCCTCCTCCTCCTTCTCCTCCTCCTCCTCCTCCTCCTCCTCCTCCTCCTCCTCCTCCTCCTCCTCCCCTCCTCCTCTCTCCTTTCTCTTTCCTCCTGCTCCCTCTCCTCCTCTCCCTCCCTCCCTCCCTCCCTCCCTCCCCTCCCTCCCTCATCCCTCCCTCCATTCCTCCCTCCCTCGAGTCGCCCCTTCTCCAGGGCGGCGGCGCCAGGGCGCGAAGGTTCGCCGCGCGCCTCGCGCGGCGCGAGGCGCAGTGTTGGGTGCTGGACCGGCCAGCACCGCGCCTTCTAGATGGGGTGGGATCCTGGGCCTCCTAGATGGGATCTGGCCATGGAGATCCTGGGCCTCCCAGCCGGGGTCGGATCCTAGGAGATCCTGGGCCTGGAGGGTCCTCTGGGATCCTCTGGGCCTAGGATCTCCTAGGAGCTCCTGGGCCTCCTGGATGGGGTCGCATCGTAGGAGATCCTGGTCCTAGGCCTAGAGGGTCCTTTGGGATCTGGGATCCTTTAGATAGGGTCGGATCCTAGGAGATGGGGTCGGATCCTAGGCCATCCTGGATGGTCCTCTAGGATCTGGCCATGGAGATCCTAGATCCATGGAGATCCTAGGCCTCCTAAGGCTCCGCATCGCGCCGCATCGCCGATGTATCGGCGATGCGGCGCCATGCGGAGCACGACTTGCTGCACGTCGACGTCGTCGATGCACCGCCGATGTCGACGTTGCATCGCCGGTGCATCGACGATACATCGCCGATGCATCGGCGAAGCGGCGCAAATTTTCGACCCCATGTACTCCGACCCCATCTAGGAGGCCTCTAGGAGAGTGGAGGGCCCGACGGGAAGATGGTCGGGCGGACGGCAACGGGGGCAACAACTGGGGGGGGATCGACGGGCAACGGGGGCAACGGGGGTAACGGGGGCAACAGCCGCAGGACAAGGCAGATCCAAAGGGGCCCCGCGCTGTCCACAGCCTGTCACCTCTTGGGCCCAGAAGGTGCACGAGAGGTGTACGTCTCTTCACCCCCTGTTCGATGCCCCCGCGTCACGGTCCGGAGCTCTTGCTCGGCTTGTCGCTCCGCGGGTCATGCCAACCGTGTCCAGCCCCCCCGCCAGCAACGTCCCGAGCCTTCCGGTCTCCCGCCTCGCCGAGCGGAGGGGCACGCTACCCACTCGCAGGGCGCAGCGTGTCGCCGGGGCCACCGCCGCGACGCGCTGGGCAAAAGTTCCCGACCGCAGCGACCACGCAACGATGATGATTCGGAGTGCAAGCGTGATTCAAACATTTGCTACTTCGGGGGTGGAGCCCAAAAACGATTGCGAAAATGGCAACGGAAACGAAACCAGTTGAGACTTGACTGACTGACTGCACTGTAACTCAGCATATACATACTGCAGCTGAATCGCCCACTGAGCCTCACAATGGAGGGTTGGGCTTTGGTTCCGATTTTGCAATCCTGGCTCAGGGGTTGTGAGCACCTGGGGGTCTGGGACGGTCGCAGATCTTGTGGCGGGGTATCAGCTTGGAGACTCGCCAGAGCAGCGCGTGCATCATCTGACAGTTGCAGCGTTTTGTTGAAGCCTTACTCCAAACGGAAAAAACAGCACATCAACCTCATGCTGCAGATAATAAACCCTAAAGATTAATAAAGTTCGGGTTTTCGGGGGATAATAAAAGTTGCCCGCCAGAGCCAGCATAAAGAGATATCAAGAGGAAAAAGCCAACTATATCTTGAGGATTGTCTCTGTTGAGACATCCTCAACGAATTTCTTGTTTCGCTTGAGAGATCCTCGAAATATGTGTCTGTTTCGCTTGAGACATCTTCAATGTATTGCTTATTTCGCTTGAGACATCTTTGAGGGAGGAGGAGGAGAACGAGCAAGAGGAGGAGAGGAGAAGGAGATAGCAAAAATCCAAATTTTAAAATTTATTAGATTTAATGTGTAAACGCTTGATGACACTTAACATTTTCATCTGCTCGTGTAGGGTAGCTCACGTGCCTCGTTTTCCCAGGATAATCAACCCCAGCGATAAACAAGTTCAGGGCGCCAGAGGGAGGAGGAGGAGGAGGAGAAAGAGATAGAGAGACAGAGAGAGAGAGAGAGACAGAGAAATAAAGAAAGAAAGAGAGACAGAAAGAACTACAAAGAGACAAAAGGACATTGGTTTCGTTTGAGACATCCTGAAACAACGTGTTCGCTTCGCTTGATGTTATTATCTCAACATGAGAAGGGAGTATCCTCGATGGCGAACTTTTCCCGTGATAATGAAGTTCGGCCTCCGCGCCCCCGCGCCCCCGACCAAACTCTTCTTGGTCGACGATAAAAAACTCTAACTACTTAAGGGGGGGGTGCATTATTATCGTGGGCATGGGGTTAGTAATCCGACTGTTGCAGCGTTTTTTTTGTTCACGCGGTTTTGGAACAATTAGAGAAACAGTCATCGATCGCAATCTGGATTCGGTCGCGCGGGCTCGACGGGCGATGGAGAGTGCAAAGCGCTCCAACAGAGCACAACCCCAGCGCCCCCAGCAGTCGCGCAGTGCATCGCATCTTGGGGCGGCGGGGAAACGTTTTCAATAGTGTCAGCGGGCCCTGCGCGCCCAGGATCACCATGTTCGGACGCGGTGAAGTGTTCATGCACCGCATGTTTCGTTTCAATATTGGGCCCCTGGTCAGATTGATGTATTCAGCCCCAGTGGTATGCAATCGGTGCCTGATGGTGCCCTCGGGCTTTTCATGGACTCCCTCGCGTGCCTCTATACCCGTTCTGGCGCCTATAGGACACCAGATGGTTTTTTGTATTTCTAAAAGATTTTTGTGGGTCCCACCTTCATTCGGCATTCCCGCCCAGTCGTTACACTGGCCCGCCGCTGGCTCCACGCGGGACGTGAGGATTCATATCAGCTTGCAGTGTCTCACTGTTTCCCACGAGCTACAATGCATTAGCAGTTTGCCCCCCCTGGGCCCCCATTGGAGCGGAAGTTTTTCTCGTTGCGTCCGCGGGCCTTGCGCATTCTCTGGAATGCGGTCGTGCGTGATGTCATTCTCCGCGGCACTGGGCCCAAGCATGGCCCAGGAGGGGCCCGAGCCTTGGGCTGCCGCGGCCGGCCCTTTGGCGGCCGCGGGGCTTGGCGCCCCGGTGGCGGTTGCCAATGCGCGGCCCAAGCTGTGGCGCTGGAAAGTGCATTGCGCCGCAGTGCATGCATCCACGTCGGGGCCTCCAGAATACCAATGATAAAAATTGCTTCTCGCCGCTGAGTTTACGAGATTAAGATGGCTATTCTGTCTAGGTTTTTGCATTGCGCACGTGCGGGCGCGCGCGCGCGAGCAACGAGGAAAATACTTTTATTCGAACTTGAGGCCTCCAGAATACGAGTAAAACATTTGGTTTTCGCCATTTGATTTTCGAGGTTCTGATGGCCATTCTGTAAAGGCATTTGCATTGTTCACGCCCGGGCGCGCGCGCGTACGCGCGCGCTTGCGCGTGCGGGCGCGCGCGCGAGCAACAAGGAAAGTACAGTGTGCCACATTGCATTCTTCCACGTTGAGGCCCCCAGAATACGAGTGAAAAGGTTGGTTTTAATCATTCAGTCTTTGGAAATTAAGATGACTATTCTGCATCAGTTGCCCGAGAGTTGTTTGCACTGCGCGCGCCCGCGCGCGCGCAAGAGCAACGAGGAAAATACATTGCACCACGGTGCATTATTCGACGTTGATACTTCCCGAATACGAATGGAACAGTTTGTTTTCAGCATTGAACTTTCGAGATTAAGATGGTTTTTCTGTAGAGGCGTTTGCATTGTGCGCGCGCGGGCAACAAGGAAATTATATTGTGCCGCAGTGCGTTAGTCCACGTTGAGGCTTTCAGAATACGGGTGACACAGTTGGTCATCACCTTTTCAGCTTTCGGGTTTAAGATGGATATTTGGCATGAGCTTTTGCCTTGTTCGCACGCGCGCGCACGCTCGCGCGCGATCAGCCAGGAAACAACATCGCGAGACAAGGCATCGTTCCACGTTGAGCCCTCGGATTGCGAGAGGTACAGTTGGTTGTTTCACCATCCAGTTTTTTTCGAAGTACAGATTGCTATCGCGCGTGGAACTTTCGAATTGCCTTCGCGCGCGAGCAAGGGGGAAAGTGCATCTGGCCACAATGCAGGATTCCACGTTGTCGGCCTCCAGAGTACGAGTGAAATTATTGGTTTCGCCATTCAGTCCTCGAAAGTAAAATGGTCATTCGGCATCGGTTGCCCTGGAGGTTTTTGCATTGCGCACGCGCGGGCGCGGGCGCGCGCGCGCGCGAGCAACGAGGCAAGGGCATTGCGCCACAATGCGTTCTTTCTCGTTGGGGCCCCAGAGTACGAGTGGAACGGTTTATTTTCGCCATTCAGTTTTTCTCGATTAAGATGGCCTTTCGGCGCAGGTTGTCGCGTTTTGCGCGTGCAGCGAGGAATATGGATTGCGCCGCAATGCATTGTGCGCTTTGGCCTGCAGAACGCATGTGGAACAATGTGTCACTGGTGCTCAATGTTCGAATTTGAGATTGCGGTGTGGCTTCGGTTTTTGAGTCGCGTTCGCGCGGGTGCCAACGCTTGCGCGCGCTCGCGCGCGCGGGCAAGGAGGAAATCGCATTGTACTACACCGCACTATTCCACGTTGAGCCCCCCCCCCGGATACTAGTGGAAGGCTTGGTTTTCGCCATTGAGTTTCCGAAATAAATGTCTATTCGGTGCCAACTTCTGCGCTGCGCGCGCAAGAGCGCGCGCGCATGAGCGCTGGCACGCGCGCGCACGAACACAGGAACGCGTATTCTATCGCATTGCATCATTCCACGTTGGGGTGCCTTCGAAATGCGAGTTTGACATTCGGTGGACACCCATTGAGTTGTTGAGCTTGCGGTGGCCACGCTGCACCGGTTCTTTCGCTGTGCGCACGCAGGCGCGCGAGCAGTAGGAACAGCGCGTTGCATCGCGCTGCGTTCTGCCACGTTGGGGCCATGCGAACACGGGTGAAGCATGTGGTTTTCACCATGTAATTGTCGCATTCAGGGTGGCCGCTCGGCGCCGCTCGTTTTGGCGTGGCGGGCGCAGACAGGCAATGGGGAAGTCGCCTGTGTGTCGCAATGCAGTCTTTCCATGTTTATGCCAGAATGAAAGGAACAATCGGTTGTCGTCCGTTGGTTTTCGAGCTTAACATTGCCATTCGGCAATGAGTGTTACGTCGCGCACACGGGGGCTGCGCGGTGCGCGCGACACCGACAAATGCACGGCGAAAGGGCGTCCGAGCGGCGGTAAGTTGAGGCTGAAATATGGTTTCTGATATGAAGAGGATTCCTGAAGATGGAGAGTTTGACCCACGCATGTGTAATCCGCTGTGACGTACCAGCTGCAGCACAGTAGTGGCACGCCGTATCCCATCAACCATGGGTGAAAGCATGCACTGGTTCACACCGCTCCGCTTACTCCGAATTTCTTTGTAAGCGTCGGGGAGGCGCCACCCCCGCCGACAGCCCCCCACATCGACTCCCGTCGCGGGCAGCCACCGCGCGCCGAAGGCGCTCCGACCCCCGTCGCGGCGCGACGACGAGGCGAGGTTGACTCCCGTCGGGGGGGTAGCCCCCCACGCTTATTACGGCGGGGGCGTTGATTAAGCAGAGTGCCCAGGAGGCTGCAGACCCTGGAGGATTCCTGATTTGATGATGGCGGCGGTGGCACCCATGGCCAAGTCTCAATTGGAGTTCCACTGGCCTCCAGAACCTGAATTCCTTATTTAAGTCGGAAGCTGGAGCATATACGTTACCAGTGGCGGGCGGTTTTTCAATCTCAGGACTTTTTTGAGGGTCGAGGACGACGTCGGGGTGGTGTGGTGTATATGTTTGTCCCCGTTCTCCCGGGGAAACAACGAAGAATGTGAACACCAGGATCCCGCATACACCAGGATCCGCTTTCCTGTGCGAGATTCAGTGTGAGGCCAGACGAAGGCGTCGGTGCATAGAGTTCGGCTTCTTACTGAGGGTTCCCTATCCGATGCCCCCGCCGGAAGAAAGCCAGAGCACGCACTCGCAGTCTGCCAGGTGCTGCACCCCCCCCCGCACGCCGTCCTCAGAGCAGCAGGGCCCGCGGTGCACGCGGGGCTCCGAGGAGGCGCGGCCTCGAGTCGACCGGCACGGGCCGAAGCGTGCTGCAGGTCTCGCGCGGTGGCGCGCAGTGAGCTCAATCCCCTGGCATCGCTCGGACGTGTGCATTTTTTCTCGGCGAGAACCATCGAGGACCATCCTGGACCATCGCGCAAAAAAAACACGCACGAAACCGAAAAATTCACGGGAAATGGACGTCCGAGCGATGGCAGGATCCCTTACGCATCGGTCGTTGACGGTAGGGACTTCCATATTCCCAGATGCCAAGCTGCTGGAGGCGCCTTCCTGCTTCAGTGGTCGAGTGGCTTCCCCTCTTCCGTCCTCTTGAGGGGGCGGGCGGGCACCCAGTCTCTTTCCAACGCCTCCCTACGTCATGCTTCTACCTACTTCTTCCGACCGATGGGTACACGTGCGACACTCTGAGTGGTTGGATCCCATCCAGACCGCCCACAAGAGGCGTCAGTGTCTTCCCCCATGATCCTCTCGTCGTCTGGTTTTCCAGGTCCTGACCGTCGTGGGTCTCGGGCGACCGTTCGGGACGATCTGGGCATTCCCAGAAGCTTCCCGGCGGGGCGCGGCCGCTGGAACGCATCCCGAGGCTGGAAACACCGCCGAGGACCCACGAGAAGGCCCCGCAACCTCCGGCATCGAAAGTTCGAACCTCCATCCTGAGCCCAGCCCCCCCCCTAGCCCCCCCCCTTAGCCCCCTCGGCGCTCCTGCGACAGCGGGCCGCCGCGCCGCTCCCGCGCTCCTCAGGAGAGCGAGCTGCTCCTGACCTACCTCACCGCGCCCTACATCCGCGTGCCCCTGCTGTGCGGCTTCTTCGTGGACCGCGACCGGATCTCGATGCTGCGGGAGCCGCACCTGCAGGCCCCCAGAGACGCGACGCGACGAGTCGAAACTTGCTCTATCCTCTGGCACCGGCCTCTCCAGAACTACTGGGAAGCAGCAGTCAAGACACCGTGCAAGGCTGCTGGGCGTTGTCAGCGCCACCGGAGCTACAGCTCCCGCCCTCTCTCACCTCCTGCGATCCCTCCTCCTTGCTTCTCGAAGAAGACAGCGGCACGGACGCAGACTTTTCTGAGTTCCGTGCGGATTCCTTGGATCTGCGCTGGAGCCCCCTGTCGGCGCCTCCAGCGCCGCGCGCCAGGGAGATGTGTCCATCGCAGATTCAAGAAGTCCGCACGGATCTCGTATGTTTGTGTAGTTGTTTCATCCTCTACATCCTGCGATATTTTATCTCTTGTCCAGATGCCCCAGCTATCCCCAGACATGCAACGTCTGGTGAGAAATCAGGACGGAGGTTTTTTTGTCGTTGCCAGTCTCCGGGGGCCCTCGCCGGGCCGCGGAACCGTACAATCATTTTTCTGGATGAGATGCGACCCTGAGGAAAGGATCGAGACTTCCGTAAACCGCGCATGGAACAAGTCAAGACATCGCATGTCTGGGCCGCCACATCGGATACTCAGGAACGACCACCAGAAGGAACCACGGCATTTTGGCTACGGTGCCGATATCAGCTTCGGTCTGGCGGTGAACTTGGAAGCGTGGAGTTTCGTAGGTGAGCCAGCTCTCTGGCCCACATCGCTCGTCCCCAGCAGGCACGTCAAATAAGAAAGCTGCTGCACAGCAGGTGCCCATGGACATGTCTTGTCCCCAGATGGCTTGGGGGCCCACAGAAGTCTGGGGACATCTAGGAAGCTCAACGCCCGACGACAAGCATGCCTCGAGCTTATCGTGTGTGTCTGCCGTGTTCTAGAGTGTGCTGGATTTCGAGGGCTGCTCTCCCTATAGCGTCGATAAGATGCTTTGCTCCTGAGTTGATTGTGGCCGTTGTCCACAGGTAACGGGTTGAGGTGAGCAGCATCATAAGACACACATTGCCCGCAAATATAGATCAAAAGTGGCATGCACTACGCAACACTTGTTAAGATGAAAGCGATCGGTGCGTGCCTGAATCTCTCTCTCCTGCTGAGGCGTCGTTGACTGGCCAGAAGCAGGTATACGTCCTTCGTCTCATCTGTTAGCGCCGTCCGGTTGCAAACCTTCGGCCGCAGTCCTTGCCGAGAACACGAAGCCGACCGCGCAGCAGGTGCCCACTGGGAACATCTTTTGGCGTAGATCTGGGGCATCTCAGGACACAGGACTCTGCTCGACAGTGTGCCTCTGCCTTCCTTCTTTCAATCGTGAGGCTCCTCATTCTTGGCATATCGGACGGGGCCAGGGCGAGGATAAACTGCGCTCCAGAGCGTCTCGGAGCGTTCTGGAACGCTCTGAGAATGGCCGCGGCGCCCGAGGCATCCTCCAGAGCAGCTGGAGGAGGAGGGGGAGGAGGCGGAGGAGGAGGAGGAGGAGGAGCAGGAGGAGGAGGTGGAGGACGAGGAGGGGGGGAGGAGGAGGAGAGGAGGAGGAGGAGGAGGAGGAGGAGGAGGAGGAGGAGGAAGAGGAGGAGGGAGGAGGAGGCGAGGGGGAGGAGGGGGGAGGAGGAGGAGGGGGAGGAGGAGGGAGGAGGAGGAGGAAGGAGGAGGAGCCCCTCCCCCGGCGGCAGGCCGTGCTCGACTCGGCCTTCTTCGAGCCGGGGCCCTGGCGCTCCGCGGAGGAGGCGAGCCGGGGCCCGCCAGCCGAGGCGCGCCCGCCCTGCTCTTCGGGGGGGGGGGGGGGGGCGCCCCAGCGTTGAGTCGGGCCTGTCTTTCTACGGGTGGAATATTCAAAAATAGTTTAAAAAATAGTCTGGGTTTTTTGTGTGATTATTTTTGGGCATCTTTTGGGTATTTTCTGAGCATTCTTTACTTCTCGTCCAAAATCCCCCTGTAGGGGTACAGGCCCGACCTAGCCCCACCCAGCGTCGCGCACACGGTGCCCGAATCCCAGTAGCGGTCCATCCAAAGGCGACCGCCGAGTCTGCTGCGGCTCGGTTGCTGCGCATGTGTTGGAAGGGCGGGCGGATGGTCAAAGGAAGAACAGGTACCCATACCTCTACCCCCTCGCCTGTTTCCCCCTTTTTGGGCCTCCTGGGAGGCCCTCGTCACCGCCGCTGGATTCGCCTCGAAATCCTGGTCAGAACGCACCCTGGGAGAGGTCTGGGGAGTAGCGGTATCGGTACCTCTCGATTTCCCCAGATGGGAGCCAGCGAGACGGCTTGCGGGCGGGGAGGGGGACGCTCTGGCGCCCCAGACGAGCTCGGGTATTCGGCATCGGGTGTGGACAGAACCTCAGAGCCCCAGATCATCAGGGGTAACTCGGGTGAGGGCTAACTCGGGCTCGTGTTTTTCGGGATTCCGAACTCGAGTTGCCCTGGGCCCCAGCTACCCGGATGATGTCGGGCGTCCAGAGCCCCAGATCATAAGTGGTAGCTCGGGTCAGGGCTAATTCGGGTTCGTTTTTCTCGGGACTCCGAACCCGAGTTGCCCTGGGCCCGAGCTGCCCCGGATAACTCGGGCGCCCAAGAATTCCCACCCAGGCACGTCGATTAGTGAATTGTCCGTCTTCGGTTCTCGAGCGGGCGCCGCGGCCGTGACTTTCCAAGCCTGCGCCCGCCAGGTTTGGGCCCGAGGTCGTTTTCACTAAACCACGTTTGGCTAAAGGTGGTTCTGTCCATCCCCGATGGTCGCAAATCATGGGGGTCTAGTATACCCCCAGAATTCCATCTTCAGCGTCGGCTAGCGTCGATTAGCGTCTGGGAGTCGACGAAGTAGCGCCGACTCAGCGTCAGCAAGCGTCGATTAGCGTCGATTCGCAAGAGCCGACCCAAAGGTATGGGAGGCTCCCAGGAGTTGCCACCGAACGAGGCACGGACAACTCCCAGAGATGATCCGACGCTCCGAAGCAACAAAACATGGGCGGCGAGTTTTTGGCAATTTTCGGCCTATGGGGGCCCTCGCAGGGCCCCGGGGCCGTCAAGAAACGACTCAGGACGGGAAACCGGTCCAGGGGAAGTGGTCCAGACCTCCATGGCCCACGCATCGAACAACATTGGAGCGGCCGGATGTCTGGGATCACGCCGGCAGGTTTTCCGTTATCTTCGGCCTCTGGGGGCCCTCGCTGGGTCTCGGGACCGCCAGAAACCAACTCTGGGATGCAGAGCTGGTCTTGGGTCCTGGGGAATGGGTCGAGACCTCTGGGGGTCGACGTTATATGAACAAGTCAACACATCCTATGTTGCCCCCATCGTACCTGGGGACCACAGCCCAGAAGCAGTGCCGAGCACCCACGCGAGCATCGAGGCTGCGTCGGACGAGCATCGCCCCCCCAGGGCCCGACACCTGAAGGCCCCCAAGCTTCGGCACTTCCTCGGTGCCCGAACCTTTTTGCTCCTGTGAGCAGGGCCAGCACGTGAGGCCTTGAACACCGTGCAGCCGACCATGGCGTCGCGGGCCCGGGTCGGAGGAGGACGCGGAGGCAGCAGGACGAGGCCCAACCCGTGCCGTCGCCCCGGCCTCCGCCGTTGCTCCGATGCCCGAGCTCGCCTCGGAGGATGGGGCCCCGCTGCGGCCCGCCGTCGCCAAGGGCCCCTGGCGCCGTCGGGGCGGCAGGCCCGGCCCCGGGCCGCTCACAGGGCCGGCCCGCTTCTGGTCCCCTGCTTCGCCGGCTCGGCGTTGCCGGGGGGCCTTTCTGAGAAACGGGGGGGAGGAGGAGGAGGAGGAGGAGGAGGAGGAGGAGGAGGAGGAGGAGGAGGAGGAGGAGGAGGAGCAGGAGGAGGAGGAGGAGGAGGAGGAGGAGGAGGAGGAGGAGGAAGAGGAGGAGGGGCCCAAGACGCATCCACGATGTTGCAGTACACCCTCACTCCAAGTTCCCTTTCCAGAGGTCCCTACAAGAACTTATTGGGAAGGCCTCACGGTCGGTGCTGGCGACCCTGCATGCGGGACCTCCCCCTAGGACCCCCGCTGGCGTCCCCTCCTCCGGGACTCTGGGAGGAGGGCATTCTGACCCGGACCCCCTCTCCCCCGGGACCCCCCCCCCGCGCGGGGAAGAGATCAAATGGAAGAGGCCCCTGTCCGTTCAACTCAGCTACGACATTCCTCAATCTCCTTGTGGCTGGCGGTTGACGAGGAGGGCCTGGGAAAACGGAAGGGAGCGGCGACGGCAACGGCGACGGCGACGGCAACGGCGACGGTGACGGCGACGGCGACGTCGACGACGACGATGACGACGACCACCACGACGACGGCGTCTTCCGCACGCCGACGCGGTCGGCGGATTTTCACTGCGGGGAGTGCCCCATTGGAAGGCCACAGTTTTAAATTCCTTAGTCGTGCGAAAACACCATTCATGGAACTTCAGCGCCTCGAGCTAATGTATTGTTGCATCTTGACAGTGTTTGAATCGCTTTAGAACAGCGAATGACCGTGACGGTTACGTCGGGTCGATCTTAGTGGCAGAAGACCATGTCTGGGACTGAGACAAACATATGCGCGGCGCTATTGCCAGATCCACATTTTGAGAACCACCCGCCTTCCATGCTTTAAACAAGGGCACATTTCAAACTCCAGGCGAGAACCTTCGGGATCATGCATGGTGAGAAAGTCTCAGGCGAAACGCCCGGCCCGCCCTACCGACACGTTTGGGGGTGCGACAGGAAAGAGTTGTTTATAACGAACAGTGATGGAAGATGGGGAGGAGGGAACATATGTACTGGGGCGAACGAGAAGGATGAGGCGGAAGCGGAGGAGGAAGAGTTAGAGGACGAGGAGGAGGCAGGGGAGGGGGGGGAGGAAGACACCGCCGCCCTCGACCCGGAGGACGAGGAGGAGCAGGAGCAGAAGAGGAGAACGAAGAGAACGGGGAGGATGAGGAGAAGGCGGAGGGGGAGGAGGAGTCAGGGGAGGGGGAGGAGGAAGACGGCGGCGTCGACGTCGGCGTCTTCCTCCTCCCCCTCCTTTGCCTGTCCCTCCCCACCTCAGGCGAACGTCCCTTCCTCCGCCACCGCTTGCTCCCCTTTCCCTGCGTCCTATTTCCCTGGGTCGATGGCGGCGGCGTCGGCGTCGGCGTCCACTCCTTCCTTTTCCTCCTCCTCCATTGCCTCATCTATCCTCCTTCATCTTCTCCTCCTCCTCCTCCTCCTCCTCCTCCTCCTCCTCCTCCTCCTCCCCTTTTTCCTCCCCCTCATGGTCTAACTCCTCTTCCTCATCTGCCTCCACCCTCCTCTGCCTCCTCCTTTCCCTCCTTCTCCTTCCTGTCCTCTTTCTACCCAGATGATACTACCATCGAGCAATAGATACAGCATAGCATAATCAGCACACACACATATATACATCAACAACACAACAATCACAACAGCCATACACAACCCAGCACTTGTGAAACACGACGCCCATCTACTTGACTCACACCAAACAATACCTTCGCACATCACTGCAAGCAGGCACCACGCCATCGTAGTCGAAACGCTGGACAGGGCAGCAAACGAATGCGTTCGTATCGACCAGTTCGCACGACTGTAAGCCCACAGTGCCACACAAACAACCCACACCATCCAGCTACGAAGACACGCCATATGAGTCTTCATATTAGAACGCAGCAGCTGCTCCAAGCTACGAACGAAACGACCCAACCAAGACAACGGCCAACACCTCACAGCACAACTAGCCGACGAGCACATCCAACGACTACGACTTGCATTCTACACATGCGACCGCGACAACGAACCCACGACGTGTAACGCAATCATCCGATCCCTTACAAACGGCAGCCGTCCACTTGCACACCAACTCAAACAAGCCAGAGCAGGCCATCTAGCAGCCCAGGTCAACAAGACGAGCACCAGCACAGAACAGCTTGGCAGAACGCCAGAGCAGCTCTACGATATTGACCTAGAACACGACCGACAGCAACATTTACCAAGTCGCTACTTCAGTTCACAGACGAGCATGACACGGTGTCCGCGAGTGGTTTACAACACACGGACAAATCCACATGACATGTTGTCAACCGAGAAGATTCACAGCATGGTCACAGGTAACATCACAACATTTCACAGCCGCACACTACAACGGACCACCGCCCCCCATGTTCCTTGACACCTCACCACGCAAGCACAGACGAGGACACAACCACTTCCCTGGAAGCACGGCATAGCGACCCTGCTATGCAGAGGATGAGACACCACATCCAAACCCACCCGCTACATGTCGATTCTGCTGGCACCAGCACCCCCACTAGCTACACCAGACAGTCTTACGAACGAGCCTCAGCACCCTAATACCACGAGCATTACAAACCGGTCCCTGCGGAGGACGACCATGCAGATCCACAGCACTTTGCCGCCCGCACAGCCACAGCAACCACCGACTACCAAGACCCTCCCAAACAAAAACGCCTGCATGCATCCGATGCTACGCCCACTTGACAGGAGCTTCCCACACGGTGGTGCAAGAAGCTGTTTTTGAAATCCACCTTTTCAGTTTCACGGCGATACATCAGAGCAAGCATGCCACAACCAACCAGACTCCCTAGATCCTGTGGTACCACTAGCAGATCTCATCTTCTAGCTACCTGGCGTGCTCACTCCATGAATGCGACGAGCACCTACTAGCACAAAATAACCCTCTTGGTCAGCACAGTTCACCTGCAGATGCTCGATTCTAACAGCCCGCCCTAGCCGACGACATATACAACCTCTCCTACGCC